AAATCATTCTACATACAACATGTCTAAAAATAGCCATTTGCGAAGCTGATTGCAAAGCCAGCAACTAGGAATGTTTCTTTAGTTTGCCCAAAAAGTGTATACAAGGTTCAACAATGTTTTTTAATTCATCTATTAGGCTGTTCTATACTAAAGCACCAATAAGTTTTCATGTAGGAACCAGTAACACTAACTAAAATAAGCTCACTTATATTTTACTGTATTATTTCAATCATAATAGATAATTATGACAAACACTAAATTATTATCTATGGTTACTTTGAAACCTACAAAGAACTTTTAAAAATTATTCACAAAAGCACAGACATAAATCTGAAAGCTGAAATTACTACTGGATGTAACTACATGAGTTTTAGGACTCATTATAGAGAGGCATTTTATGTCACTTAAAATTATATTGTTCTGTTTATCCAAGATTATGAAGTCAAACCAATATTAACTTATAATTCAGAACCATTTTTGTTAATTGCAAAAAATAAAGGTTAGAATTTCAAAGTATTTTCCTAAGTGGCAATGTACACAAGGCTATGTTCACTTTGTGGTAATTCTTTAAGCTATGCACTTATGATTTCTTTTTATTATGAGGTTTGATAAGAACAGCTGCTTCTGCCTCACAAACACATTTTAGGGAATGTTCATTACTTATGCTTCCATGATAATACAATGCATTTCTTGGGGGCAAAATGGTCAGGAAGAAGTCAATTCCCATTTATTTTGTTTTTTAACACACTATTCATTGCCTCAAAAAATAGTTAATAGGCACCTACTTAAATGCCAAGCAGTTGTAAGTTTATTATTTGGAATAGTAGATTTTAATACCTAAACATATAAATAATATTAAAATGAATATTTTTAGGTATAAGAATGCTATTTTGGAAATTTAGATGAAGCTTTTTAAGGTAGTCTGAGAACACCCTTTCTAAAAAGTAACTTCTACCAACTGCAATTCCCATGTGTGGCTTACAGTGTATATCTTCACTGACAAATTCACTTATYCATCTACCTAGTGACTTTCATGCCACTATTTCTAAGATTACTAGAAAGATTAAAATAGTCACCACCATATGAACCTCCTAAAATCTGGTACTTGGAATTGAGGACTCAGGAATCAGAACAGCGTAGCCTATCTATTAATAGGGCTTTTCTTACTTTTTAAACAAGGTAAGAAAACTTCGGTTATTTGTAAGAATTAGAAATTGTCATTCTGAAAACATGCATTAAAAATATGAACCAGGCTGTGGTTGTGGCTCAGTGGTAGAGCGCTTGCCTAGCAAGTGTGAGGCATTGGGTTTGATCCCCAGCACCACATAAAAATAAATACTGTTAAGAATAATAACAAAGGATATAATCTATTTAAATATCTTTTTCAATCTTATATTCTGTTACCAATAAAGRTATTGTGTCCATCTACAACTAAAAATATACATAAGAAAATATAAACCAGGGGCTAGGGTTGTGGGTCAGTGGTAGCATGCCCAAGCATGCCCACCTAGTACACATGAGGCACTGGGTTCAATCCTCAGCATCACATAAAAATGAAATAAAGATATTGTGTCCACCTACAACTAAAATATAAATATTAAAAAAAGAAAATATGAACCAATATTCCCTGTTTACAAAAGTTGGTTTTATATATATACATACACACACACACACACACACACACACACACACATGCATATGTATATACACATATATGTATATATAAATGTGTTACATTTATATATTTGTATATGTATCTATGTATTTATAAATGTATATTATATATAAATGCATCTACATACATAGCAGTTATATGATAAATATACTGTATGTGTATATGTAAATACATTGATGCACACATACACATCATTCATATATATATATATATATATATATATATATCCATCCACTAGTCCTTCCACTCCAACAACTGAAACTCCGCCCTATCCAAACCACTGACAATGGAAATCCACAATTCAACTACCCTCACTGCTAAAGCCCATCTGACTTCTTTCCACTTTTTTATAATTTCAAGTTATCCTTTCATGACTTTTTTAAGGTTGTTAATGCTGCTTTTTTGAACTCCATTATCTGTATAAAAATTATAGAGTGTGAGTTTACATATTAAAATGTACCCTCACACTGAACTGTGTGTCCCATTCCTCAGTGCTGACCAAGAATATAATATCTCTGCCATATCCTCCCTACTGGGCTCAGAATCTAAACATGACCTCCATGTATTTTGAAGATACTCAAGGAAGAGTTTCTTAACAGGTAGTATAGAAGCTCTAAAGTATATATTAACTCAATAGTATATACTAATATATTCTATAAGGCTGCATTTCAAGAATTAAAAATTCAGTAGAAATATATATAATCAAAGCATTTGGAGTTATACAGAAGAAGAGAGTTCACAGAAAATTTTACACCCAGAAAGAGTTCAACAAATGATAAGTAAAACAGAAAGAAATGAGTTATCTCATGTGGTTTCAAATGATTAAAAGTTCAGGGGGCTGGGGATGTGGCTTAAGCGGTAGCGCGCTCCCCTGGCATGGGTGAGGCCCGGGTTCGATCCTTAGCACCACACACAAACAAAGATGTTGTGTCTGCCGAAAACTAAAATGTAAATAAAATATTTTWAAAAATGATTAAAAATTCAACTCTAGAAATGTAGGAATTCAATACCATAAGAATAATAACAAAAGGTATAATCTATTTAAATATCTTTTTCAATCTTATATTCTGTTACCATTCTACTGAAATTTTCACAATATTACTGAATTTAAGGCACTCATTTAAAATACCAGGACTATAAGCAATTATTACATGGAATTGGAGAGAATATCAAAAAAGGAATCTCTTCATCTATTGAACACAAGAAGTATTGATTTTAAAAAGTGTTGCCCACAAAAATGATTTTAATAACTGAAGTATGAAGCCAGGCAAGGTGGCACACACCTGTAATCTCATCAACACAGGAGGATCTTAAGTTCAAAGTTCAAAGCCAGTCTCAACTACTTAGTGAGATGCTAAGCAATTTAGTGAGAACTTATCTCAAAAAAAAAAAAAAAAATGAAAAGGGCTGGGAATGTAGCTCCGTGGCAGAGCATCATTGGGTTCAATCTTAGAAAAGTACTACTTCTACTACTATAACTTTATAACATCAGTTGCAAAATTTCAATAGCATATACACATACAACCAATAGACCAAAGCAAGGATGATTAGCAATATAAGGTACTTAATAATATAGGTAGTTACTTGGAACATTGTAAACTTAAAATGTGACAAAAAGCAGAAAGTACAATTTCATTCCTGGAAAAAGATAGACTTGCTAAGATTTTTATATTYTTGTGGGAAAATAAATGATGCTTTTAATTACACAATCTAAGATAAATCTGTGCACTAGAGAAAAGTAAAAAACTTTTAATAGGAATTACTCATACAGRTTCAGACAGTCTTCCAGAAACTCAAAAATATAACATCAAATCAACTATATTAGTGTTCCAGTGTATAAGGAATAAGTTCTTCTGACTTTAATGTACTTAATTTCATCAAAGTAAAATTTTTTTTCTTTTTTTTATTGGTTGTTCAAAACATTACAAAGCTCTTGAYATATCAAAGTAAAATCTTTAAATCAATTCTTTCAATTTTTACTACCACTATCCTATTTCAAGCTTTTATTAATCTGACTCACTCCTAGACAGTTGCCAGACTCCCCATAATGAACTCCAACCTTTCTAATCTTAATTGCTTAGACATAATCAGTATATTCACTAACCTGGTCCCTTTGCAGAACCTCTCAAAATATTAGATAGTGTCTCACTCTCTATTGGCAAAAATTATCAAGACCCATAATCTTTTAAYTTGCCTATTTTAAGTAATACTAAAATGCTATGAACAATTTTCCATCTGAATCTCAAATATCTACTATCAGTTTGGTACAGATAAATGTAAATATAACTTAGATATAAGAATCAGTGCCTCAAGACCACAATGCAAAGAGAGAGAGAATAATGATATGGTTCATATAGCACAATTCTGTGGTGTCTCACCTCAATTAAATCAACTAACTAGCAAATATCTAAAGTTTACATGCAAGTTGCTAACAATGAAAAAAAGAAAACCTGATCTCTGGCCTCAAGATGCTTATATTTTAGTTGAGGAAATAATTTACAAAGGCTGTGACATTATATCATAATGTTTCTTTCTAAACCAGATTATATCTTGCAGTTTATTTTCATAATCTACCCCTTAAATACTAGTAAGTATTAATATTAGCTAGAAAGTTATTACTAAAACAAAAAACTTAACCACATTTCCAACTTGCCAAGTCCTCATGTATTAGTGACCCATGCTGTTGAATTGATTAAAATTATCATATTCTAAAAAAATTATTTTAGTCTGTAGAACTATTTACTGGGAAAACACTTAAGAACTCTCAAAATTTTCTCAATTAAAACATGGATCATAAAATGACCAATTTAAGAGGAAAAAAGGTACAAAATATAAGCTAAAACAAATAAATATTAGATTCCAACTAAGCYCCTAAAAACTCCTAAACTAGAGGTTAAGGTTTAAGACTAGTAAATAATAATTAAATAATTTAGTGGATAATCTTATTTTGTCACTTTACCTCAAGTCTTTCACCTTCTCTTTTTCTTCTTTTCTTCTTCTTTTTGCAAAACATACCTAACGCATTTTAAATTCTTCAGTACAGTTTAGCTGTCTTTCTACAAAATTACTGAGAGGCTTGATCATTTATTTTAGTAAGACTGGGTATCTAACAAGTTAAAGACAAAGATAAATGAAGAAGGTAGTATATTTTAAATTAAAATTCAGCAACGAAGCATTTAACCTTTGACCACTGTATTGACAATAATTTTATAAGAAGGCAAAATTAACTTGTAATTGTAATACAGCATAGCTATCTTGCACATTTCTAAATAATTAGTTTGCTTCATATGATAAAAAAACAATACTATCTCTAGATGTATAGTACCTCAAGAGGAAAATCCTTTATGCTGACATCTACAAAAGATTGGCAGTAATGAGGATCCATGTAAATCAAACTGTCATCTACAAGGACAAAACAGAAGACAAGTAATTCAAAAAACACCTTATTATTACACTGCTTACAATCCAATTTCTATGTAGAACAGCTGAAAAAAAACTCTAGGAGTAACAGCTTGCCAGACTGATATTCATTGACTGAAACATAGGTTTGCATAGGATAGATTAACTTTTGCATAATCAAATATGCTTGTATAAGCAGAATTTTTATAAAGTGATGAGACTGTCATTTAATTTTTGGTGATAAAATTACTTTCACAAACACACAATTATATTCTACAGTTTGCATATGAAAAATGTATTGCACTTCTCTGTCCTGACAGGAAGAACATATTGCTTGTCATTTTATCATCAACTAGCACTACTAAGACTGGTAAAAAGTAAATATGTGAATAGCAACTGCCAGAACGTGGCAGCTATGGCTTCTGAAGTTCAGTGAGACCAATAAATTATGCCTTGTTTATGCAATAACAGAAATTAAGCATACATTTTACGGAACCCAATTATACTGTGAGCCAAATGACAGATGAGTGGCTACCGCAGGACTGATGAATGTATGAGGTATTCCTTTTGCTCTGTTAATTATACTGTTTCCAGCTGATCTCATATTAACTTTCTGACTTAAAAAAAAATGAAGAGATATATTTTACAAAATCACTAACCTTGAAATCCAGCAAAGTAATATGACTGTTTAGGTTTGCCACCAATAATACCCACACAATATTCAAGGCTCAGAACACCCTGCCAAAAGAAATTAAAACAAGAGTTAGTCAAGAGACGAATGATAATTATTTAAAACAACTCAATTTGTTTTACCAATACTAGTAGTTCCCAAACTTTTCACCAATTAGTTACCACTTTTATTACATTTGCCCCATGTTCTGAAATCTTTTCTTCCAAACTGCCTTCTCCTTTCTTTAAATCACTCAACATTAATAGAAATTAAATATTGTGATCAGCATGTTGTTCAACAGCATTAAACTCCTACTATGAAACAGATACAGAGATAATGTTACCCCATTAAAGCAACAAAATTCCTGCCAAAGCCCCAACACTTAGCTTTCCAGTTACTGGGGCAGCATTATGGTGACCAATGTAATATTGCATCAGACTTTTTGAAATGCTAAACCTAGTTCTTAGAACTCATGATTGTTTTCATTAAGCTTCTGAGTTTTCAAATCCCAAACTGAAAACCATTTTTCTAATCAAATCATTCACTTACTTGACACATTTTTTGTGCTGTTTCATTTGGAATAAACATAAAGACTAATTAATGAAAACAACTTAAGGAAAATAATTATTGTATCCRAAGTCAATTTATTTTACTAATCAAAAAATATCAGGCATACCTCAATGTTATTTAATATGCCCCTCAGTATATTAAATATTCTATTATAAGCAAACTCTTTAAGCTAGGCAAAATAACTCTATACCTTTAAAAAATGTCCAGTGATGTCAATTAAAAAATATCCAGAGGCAACAATTAATATCTTATCAATAGTTCTTGCAATTACTACAGTGACATAGCCACATCACTGTGAACATAGCAGCTCAATTCAAGATTCATAGCTGTTAGAGTCTGTAAACAAGTCTGGATGGCGCCTGGCAAAATGCCAGAGGGAGTGGTTTGTGAAGTAA